TCAGAAACTTGTGCAGAAATAGCAGAGAGCTACTGTTTTAATCGTTCTCCCCCATTTTTGTATTAATCGTCATCCCGCATTACTGCTCGCTTGGTCCCTGGAGGGGGCCTCCCCCAGGCGCTCCAGCGAGCGGCCCAGATCGAAGAAAGACCGAGCCTCCATGAACATAAACTTTCGGAGGTCCGCGCGGCGGATTGCTTGGATCGGCGTTGGACCCCCCTCCCCCTGGCGCGGGAAGCGCGCAGTGGGGCGGCGCCGGAGGCGCCGCCTGGGGGTGCAGACCCTGCCCATTGGAGGTTAACAGACCTCCTACCCTGACACGTCGATTAGCGAACTTGCCGTTTTCGGTTCGCGAGAGGGCGTCGCGGCCGGCATTTTCGCGGGTCCAGGTCCGTCGGTTTCGGTCCTAGGCCCTTTTCACGAAAGGGTGGTTTGCTAAAGGGAGGTTTGTCCGCCGCCGAGTCCAAGAGATCCGCGCCGAGCTCCGACAGCTGTCGCTGTCGTTCCTCAGCCAGAGCTTCCTGGGCGGCCTAGGCCGCTCAAGGGAGCCCCGCGGGGGCATCAGCGGGGGCCCACGCCGCACACGAGAGGGGCCGAAGGTACTCCCAAGAGTTCCCCGATCAGCTGCGAGCAGCCTCGCATCCTCGGAGGCTCTGGCGGGGGCGAGGACGTTTACCACGTTGTGCATTGTTTTTTTTGTCTCTCTCTCTCTCTATCTATCTATCTATCTATCTATCTATCTATCTATCTATCTATCTATCTATCTATCTCTCTCTCTATATATATATACGTACATAGAGATGTAGATGCATGTCTCTCTGCCTCTTTATCGATATCTTTCTTTATTATTGTTATGCTGCTATTTCTTTGGTGCTCTCTCTCTCTCTCTTTCTCTCTCGCTCTCCCTCTATGTTCTCTCTCTCTCTCTGTCTCTCTCTCTGTCTCCCTCCTGGAGAGGATCATTTACTGGCCTCGGTTCGAGGCGCCCAAGAAGCCCCGAGAGGGCCAGAAGAGACCCCGAGAGAGCCCTGAGAAGCCCCGAAGACGCTCCACGATCCCCCCCCAAGGTGGCCCCAAGCGGCCCAAGGTGGTCGCTGCAAGACGGCTCCAGGGCGTCCCCAGGCCAGCCCAGGCACGGCACACCTGAGACCCCCGTCCAGGCGGCCTGAAGGCTCTCCCATACGGCTCCGCGACAACCCCTGCGACCCGTCCCGGACAGCTAAGACGGCCCCCAAAAAGAGATGCCCCCGAGAGATCCCGCACGGGCCCCCCGGGAGGTCCCGATAAAATGCCCACACGAGCCACCGCGGAATGCAGACAGTGTGCTGTGACGTGTATGTGTCCTGCCGTCCGTGTGGTCTTCGAGGGGGGCGGGATGGAGTCTTCGAGGGAGGGGGGGCAGGGAGGAGAAGGAGAGGGACGCGGACCAGGACGAGCAATATACGAATGAGGAGGATACAGAGGACAAGGAGGGGGAAGAGAGGTATACACCCTCCCTCATCACTGCCCAAGGCACCATAAATTGCAGCCGCACGGGGCATCATCATACGCCATTGCGTTGGCGAAGGGTGCCAATGCGTTTGCCGCGCCCAGCGCCCTGAGCGCTTGACCGGGGTCCGCGAGACGGGACAGCGGCCGATGTTTGCATATGGTTGTGCGCAGATGCCCTTGCACAGATTGGCACAGTTCAGGCGCAGCGCGTCATCACGCTGGCGCTGTTCACAGCGACATCGGGCCGAAGTGCGGCCGCTGCCACAGGCGTAAGAGCAGGGCCTCGTGCATGCTTCGCGCCCCCCAAAGCGAGCTCCACCTGCGGCCCCAGTGGACGCGGCCGCGTATCGCCCCCCCGCCCCGTGTGGCGCATGCCTCACGCGCTTCGTGCCCCCCCCGGGGAGCCCCACAGACGGCCCCAGCGGGCGCGGGCGCATGTGGCCCGCTCCCATTGGGGCACACCTCTCAGTCACGTCTCGTGCCTCCCACGCGGAGCTTCACAGACGGCCACGCTGCGCGTCCTCGCATGCGGTCCTCACCACACGGATCGCGTCCCACGGTGAGCACCAACCGCGGCCTCGGCGCGGGCGATCTCGCGTGCGGTCCCCATCCATTGCGGCGCACCGCTCACGCGAGCAGCGCATGCCCCGCAGCTCCCTGTCCGCGCTGCCCCCGGCTCCGCCCCTCCTGCGGCGTGCAGTGTGCGAGGAGAGGGCCGTATCCTCCGCCGCGTGCAGCCGCACAGGGCCGGGCCCTTCGCAGGGCGAGCTCGCTCGGGGGGAACTCGAGCAGGCGCTGCCATTCGGCGGCGAGCGAAGGGGGGGAAGTGAGAAGGAGAAGGCCTTCTCGGAAGGCGGCGGGACTTCTCAATTCTCAGAACCCCTCGCGCCTTCTGAGAAGTTTCTGTGCCTTCGGGGAAGGCTCACAAAACTGTTCAGAAGGCTGGAGGACTTCCGAGCCTTCTGAGAAGGCCTCCACTTGCTCAATCCCCCCCCTCGCTCGCCGCCGA